CACATACAAATATGCCCACAGACGAGTACTCGGACTGAAGACTGTTACCCGTGCTACACCATGCTTCAAGACAAAATTTCATTTATTTGTCATTAGAAAGAAATATTTCACAACATATAGTTACATATTGTTTTTGTGATTCATCACTATGCTTTCATGATGTTCAATTTGTAACAATGAACCTACATCTTGCATATCAGATATTTACATGATGATTCATAATAGTAGCAAAATTGCAGTTATGAAGTAGCAACCAAAATAATTTGATGGTTGCGGGTCACCACAACCTGAGGAACTGTATGAAAGGGTCTTGCATTAGGAAGGTTGAGAACCACTGATTTAGATAAGGCTGTATGGATAGGAAGAACGATGCGGCTGTCTGGTCCAACAAACATTCACAGCCTCAGAACCCCATACAGACAAGGTTGATATGGGTTGGATTCCACTAACTGATAGTGGTTTGGTGTAGTTTTTAGCGTATAAGAAGCCCTGGTGGCAAGGTGGCGAAAAACCTGGCTGTTAGTCAAAAGGCCAATTGTTTGAACTCACCCAGACGTCCTGCAGCCGAAAGGCAAGGCAGTCTGCTTCCATAATGATTTCTGGGTCAATATCAGTTGGAATCAACTGGACATCAGCATCTTTGGTTTGTTGTAAATTAAATAAATAAATTGAATTTAGTGAGAACTGCTATCGGTCAAGTATTAACTCAGCGGGGAAAGACTAGGCATTGTACTCCTGTAAAGGGTTGCAGTGTGGAAAACCGACAGGGACAGTTTTCCCCTGTCCGACAGGGTCGCCAAAAATCAGAATTGACTCTATGCCAGTGAGTTTGGTTCGTGACCTTTCAAGTATTAAAGTGTTTTGCAAAATAGGAGAAACTACAGTTTTTTTGGGTTTTTTTGGTCTGCTTACCCAGCCTGGGTGATGTAATTGTATTAACATTGATCTTCTCATTGCAGGGCTGCAGGTGGCATGGTTTGTACGCGGCAGGTTTTTCTGAAGAAAAGCATGCATTTCCATGTCGTCCTGTGATCTTATGCATGCATTGAATCACACGGGATTGCATCCCTTTTCCACAGGTAATGGAGCACTAGGAGAGAGAAACGTTCAGTTACAATTCCTTCTCACACTTTTCTTTTCCCCTATAGTTTCAAAAGTGAACACGCGTCATAACTTCGGAGTTGATGTAAAACAAAGGGAGGACCTATCTACGCTCATACCTTGGGCAGAGTGCTGATCAAAACCTCTGTGGACTTAAAGCCCAGCTTTCATGAACAAAAGACAACACAATTTGCAGAGTGTGACTTGAAGGAAAGGTATGGAAAGTGCTAAAGGACTCTAGTACTCTGCATGGATTGACAGTGTTTTCAAATATCAACAAATACTTAATTCATTATTGTTTAATTTACTTAGTGATTCTCAAGAGTCTCCATATCCCTAAAGATGGAGCTAGATCCTTGGTAAAATCGACCTGCTCCTCCACTTCTCTTCCTTTGACCGTGTTCCACTGTTTCTCAGCCGATAACACGATGGTTTGTCACTCTAACGTGCTGCTGAAAAATAAATTTCTTGGTAGATTGAATTACCTCCACATTGTCCTAATTAAAATAATTAGTACCAGTAGAATGCCATTTTAATTGATACTCCGAATTTCCACTAAATGGAGTTTGTTAAATGTAGATCATGAGATCTTTCTTCTAAGGACCCTCTGGGTGAGTTATTCTTGTCCAAAATACCTTGTTTCTTTTCAAAACACAAGTTTAAACCCATATGCTCCATGAAATCTTCCACAATTTTCTCAATTACTTGTGCATGTTTATATAACATTTGTTATATAAAGTCATATAGTCACATATATGAGGCAATAACAGGGAAATACTTGATTTTTTTTGTTAAATCACAGATCTTTAAGCTAAGAACTTCTAGATCCATAAACTAGCATGTAGAATTTGCATTAAAAAATAGGTGACAATTCTGTTCAGCCAACTTGGAACCTACATGGTCTGCAATAAGAATTCTATATTTAACATTGGTAACTTAGATCTTATCTTTGAATAAAATATTTTAATGAATCTAGTTTGGGTTTTTTGCTTGATGATAAATCTCTTAAATTTAGGTTGATTGATACATTCAGTTAAAGAAAGCCCATTTCGGATGGGAAAATAGCTTGCTGACAAAATAATGAAATTATTATGTATGTGTATCTCATTACTATGCACCTACTTTACAAAAACCTAATCTTTTCCATTTTATGTTGTAAATATTTTCACATAATGTGTATTAGATAATACTTTAAATTTTCTTATAATTTAAAATGATGATGAGAAGATTAACTATTTGACATAATCAATCCTTAGAAAGTCTTACTTTTGATAGAACCCTATAGAATGGATGTGATTATGCAAAGCCATCATGTTTCTTACAAAAATCTCTCATGAAAATTCCAAATAATTAAATTAAAAATTTTTAAGGAGTGAAGATACTACAATTTTATGATCTACTACAAAAATTCTGCAGATCTTTGATGTTAACAAATTGCTTGAGATACCAAAAGGCTGTTTAAAACTTTGTGGTGGATGGATTCATTTTGATATGATACAGTTATCTTTTGCAGTTAATAAGCCCAGTAATCAGCTGTGATGTTTATATTCGTCTGCCAGCTTCTCTGGGGCAAGAATCTCAGAGGGTTGGCAGCGATGATGCAGTTGTGTGAGGATGCCGTCATCCCCATAATGAGATCAGACATAAGGTAGTCATTTCCATGAAGAGAACTGCTGTATGCAGCCCATCAGTTGACTGGGCGTTTCCTGAGGGAGCTGCATTCAATGTATACCAGAAATTCACACCCGCTGCCATCCAGTTTATAACTGGACCAATACATAAGATCAAGCTAAATGAAGAAAGGATGGACGTTATCAAGGATTTCATTTCACTTGCATCTATAATCAACACTCAAGGAAGCAGCAGTCAAGAAATAAGCCTGCCGCACAAGACCTCTTAAAGCGCATAGATGCCACTTTGAGGACTAAAGTTCACTGGACCCAAGCCATGGCATTCACAATTGCCTCATTTGCAAGCGAAAGATGGACAATAAATAAGAAAAACCCAAGAAGAATTTATGAATTTTAGTTATGGTGTTGGTGAAGAATATTGAAAGTACTGAGGGCTACCAGAAATACAAACAAAACTATCCGCAGGAGGTAAAGCTGAAACGCTCTCTGATGCAATGATGCTGAGTACATTAGACATGCTGTGAGGAGAGGCCCGCGATGGGTAAAGGGAATTCTGCTTGGTCAAGTAGAGGGTTAGTGAATAGACCAGAGGGATTGCCACGGTGGGTGCCCCAATGATGAGGACGGCACAGGACCGGGTAGTGTGTGGTTCGGTCGCACACAAGGTCACAGTGAGTTGGAGCTGTCTGGACAGCACCTAGCCAAACCAGAACAACTACACACTGGGATAGTCCTTGTATAAGCTGAGTGATATGGTCTCCCTAATCATAGAATTACTGATACAGCTCTATAGTAGACAATGAAAAAAATTTGAATGTGCACATTAAAAGCTAATTCAATTTCAGGAATTAACTAATGTGCTGATTGCTTAGGCTGTCTTGGTTCATAGTTCCCACAAGCCTAATAACCTTAAGACCTGAAAAAGTGAGGCTCACACAGGTTATGTCACTTGTTTGCTCATTCATTCCAAAATATTTATGAAACTTCTAATTTTTGGACACTGGGATGTCCTAATGGACAACAACAGCAACAAAAATATCCTCAAAGATCTTACATGTTAATGAGGGTACAAGAAAGGAAACAAAATGGATACATACACTACTTGTTGCATGTTATTAAGTGCTCCTCTTGGAACGGCCATGGGGATGGTCTGGAACTAGGGTACTGCAATTCAAATAGGATGCCGCTCATAAAATGATAACGTCCTGCCTCCTCAGAGGGAGAGACAGACATCAAAAACAAGTCTTTTGATTCCAGATATGATGGTTTTCCCCCCATTATATATGGTGCATAGTCCCTTTATTCATATTGTTGTGGACTATGATATTCTATGATATTCCAAATTTCTTAATAAGGATGAGGGCCGTACAAGCCATTTGGAATAAGCAGGATGAACGATTGGAGTGAAATATGAAGCCAATGTGTCTTCAGACTTTGCGTCAGACCCTTTTTTTCTTTCTTTGTTCACCCAAGGAGTCCTGGGGACACAGTGAGGTTAGCAGCATTGGGCGAGGTCAGAGATTCAAATCCCGCGGCTGCTCGGTGAAAGACGATGAGGGTCTGCTCTCACAGAGGCACGCGGTCTCAGAAAGTTCTACTCGGCCCTGTTGGGTGACTGTGTGTCAGGACTGCCTCTACGGCAGTCAGTTTCCTCCTTTCTCTCCATAAAATTTCATCTTGTCTCTTCATAATGTACCAAATATCCTCACATTTAAAACACTGTTGAAACAATGCAGTGCAATGCACTTCCACTAAACCCTTATACGCTAAAACGTCAGAAATCTCTTTGCCAGCAACTGGTGAAGAAGACAGTGTATACCATTTACATGCCACTGATGTTTCTTTCACACGGCAATGTTTGTGACTTCAGTGTTTGAACTAGAGAGCCTGACTTTTTCTGATAAAAATTCTGTTCCCCACACAGCTTAATATCACCCGAAAGGACTTTTGAAAGAATGGGCCTCATGAAACCATTCCATGATAGACAAGTCTTTAATGCTGAGCAAGAAACACACTGTTGGTGTCCCAGGTTTGCCAGTGCCAACAAGAAGCAGTCTGCTTTAGGACAAACATCATTGAGAATTGTACACAATGATTTCAGAGCAAAGTAGTTATTTTCGCACAAATAACAAGGAAAACAATGTAGTCCCCGCCCTCCCATTTGCATTAAACTCCAAAATATTTGTTGTACTGATTTAATGATATTCACCATTTTAGCTAAGTGAGAGAAATATGATCTTTACTACATTTGTATCTGCATGAGTATTTACGACCAGGACCCCTTTAAAATCAGCATAGGTTTCTCTTATGATAGAAAAAACATCATACTCTGTCCTGTGACATTTGTGACAATTTTTAACACTGTACCAAATAATAGTTACACTGTACAGTGCATGCCAGACATGAAACATGATAAGGGAAACTGTCTCAATAATTTAAGCACTTCAGACTATCCAAATTATTAGGAAAAAATGTTTTGGACAATGAAATACATATGAACAATCTTTATGAAATCAATATATAATAAGTTATCATTCTTTTTAAAGGATAATCAAGTATAACTTAATATTATTGAATGTTAAAACTCTTTCAATACCTAAAACTCTATTTCCTTCTACCATTATGTGGGACAATAAGAATCAGCTGACCTTATTTTACATAAGAAAAATTGGTTTAAATAAACCAACACGGAACTGTCTAGGAAAGTATACGTGGGAAATATAGGAGGTGGGAGTGGAGAGGAATTTCACTTAGCTGTTTGTTAAAAATATCAAATTATCTCCCTGTCATTGAAAACGCATGAATCAAGTAGGAATTTCCATAATAACTCATGATATAACCTGCTCAGTAATCTGTATTCATCCGATTCACCAAAGGACACACTTGGTCTTCTTCGCCCAAAAGTAGCCTACACACTATGGGCAATTAATTTTCATGTAAACACCTTGCAGATACCTTGACCTCTCTCCTCTTCAGAGAGGAGACAGCCCTTCTTTACCTGATGCCATGATTTCATACCCCATGAACTCTGAGAACCACTAGCTCTATTTTCTGTGCTAGCTTTGATATTGTACACAACTTGTGTTGAGCAAACAGTCCATAAGGATGCTTGAAATGTGACACTGAGTCTTGTGATTCTTCCTTTGAGAAAATGAAACATTCTTAATGTTTGTTCAAAGTGAATATAAAAACGAATATGAAATATAACATATACAATGCCTTCTTACAATTAAAATTGAACTATTACTGACTTACCATAACATGCTCAAAAGAAAAAGAAAGATACCTTTTATTGTTAGAATGAACTGGCAATTTAAGATTTTACTTTAACCATATGATTTTGGAACTATGAATTGAT